TTCACAAAGTTGGAAGGAAAGACGGCAGAGCAGAGCTACAGCAGGGAAGAGTGTGGGAGTGAGATGGGACAGCTTGGCTGTAGGGGACAAAGAACACTGCATTCCTAGTCGCTGGCCCCCAGCATGGAGCCACTGCTGCTCACCAGCTACAAGGGGGGAGAGCAGAGAGCATGGGGTTGAGGCGCTGAGGGCAGGCTGCGGGCACTCAGTCGTGCTTGACGCGCTTCACCCAAGACAGGGAGGTATGACCTAGGGCTCCCTGGGAAACATGCCATTACAGAATAGGCATGGCCCTCAGCCTGCAGGCCCATAGCATGGAACGGGAAGAAGGGAGTGTGGGCTGGAGGCTACCAGTGCCCCAGACGCTGCCCTACTTACCCTTACTCTGGGCAACAACAGGATACCCAAGACAAGTCTCAGTGATGGTCCAGTATTTATGGTGCTTCAGAAACCAGAAACCTTGAACCAGATCAATGACTCATTGTAATGAGAATTTGCATTTAAAGCCGTTGGGGACATGTGACACACTGCGGTTTGCAAGGACAACTGCCACGAACAAATATATGATGGAGAGGTGGGGAAAATGGAGGAACAGAGTCTTGGTGGAGTGAGGTGGAACCAGAGATGCCTACATATGGCGGGTGTAGGGAAGGCTGCATTGGACAGCAGAGGAGCACTCGCAGGGGGGTGTGCAGCAACCTGGAGCTTGCACAGGTGCTGTCCTGAAACACGCTGCTCAACAGCACCGCTGACCTGGCGCTGAGCAATGACAGGATGCCGGAGATGGAGACATGTTCTTTTCAAAATTGAGACTCCTTGAAAGACATCCAGGTCTGTGCTGTCTCCAGAGGCCATGTCACTCTCCATCATCCATGCTACACCTGGGGGACGTTCTGGTATTGGTATTCCATGCTGCTGCCCAGACTGTGGATGTCTGAGGTCCGTGTGGATGTCCATGCCACTGGGGACCATGATGAGGTCTGCGGTCCATGCTGTGGCTGAGGGCAGTGTTGATGTTCGCCGTCTGTGCTGCCAGCAGAAACAATGTGGAGGTCTATGATCTGTGCTGCTGCTGACTGTAAAGGCCGAGGAAGCTTCTCCTGCAGTGGTGCTGATGACTGCAGACTCACAGTTGAGAGACATGGAAGACTTCTGTGACAGCCTCTCCCTTTCCCAACCCCTCAAAGAAACAGTTTACACAGGAAGCCACTGAAGAGAGTTCTTGAAAATTGTGATGGGGCTGGAGAAATGGTTCAAAGGTTAAGATCACTGGCTGCTATTCCAGGTCCTGAGTTCAATTCCCAGCAACCACTTGGTGGCTCACAGCCATCTATAATGAGATCTGGTGATCTCTTCTGGTGTGCAAGGATATATGCAGACAGATCACTGTATACATAATAATTAAATAAAACTTTAACAAAAATTGTGATAGGGACCCTGAAGTAGTTCTTCACAGATGAGGGCTTCTGGTGGGGGTGGGTAGGGAAGGACTCAGTTTTCTCTAAGGGGCCGGTCACTGGGAGTTTGACCATGCAACAGAAATTGGACTTGGTGTTTTTTTCTTTTCTTTCCCTTTTTTTTTGGGGGTGGTGGTGCAGACAAGGGTGGGAGGGTGGACTTGGGAGGAATGGGAAGTGAGTGTGAACAGTGGGAATTTCTATGCAATTCCCAAATAATCAATAAAAATATTAGGTTGGGAAAACAATTCCAGCACAATGAATATTTGCTGTGAAGGTGACTGACACAGAAAATTCCGTTCTCGTAGAGATATTTTGTGGTAAATGTCAGTGCAGCATGATTAAGGCCTGGATCTTGTAGAAGGCCTTGGATGGGGCCTTTCTCCCAAATTTTTCCTGGGATTTTCTAACAGGGCTCTTTATCCTAACGATGTGCTCTGCCTTCTACCTCTGTGATCTAGAGTGTTAACTGTCCCATATAATCCAATCAGGTGCTCTGCAGAAACCACCCCACCAACTCACTTATCAACCCTCTGAAGTTAACAGACTCAGGCCCCAACACAACCCCACACTGGACTTTTGTGAAGACAAGAACTGCCACTCAGAGATGTGGGACTTGGCAATTTTTTCTCTTTCCTTTCCTTTCTTTCCTTTCCCCTCCCTCCCTCCCTCCCTCCCTCCCTCCCTCCCTCCCTCCCTCCCTTCCTTCTTTCTTGCTTTCTTTCTTGTTTTTTGAGACATGGTTTCTCTGTTTTGCTTTGGAGGCTGTCCTGGAATTCACTCTCAGAGATCCGCCTGCCTCTGCTTCCCGAGTGCTGGGATTAAAGGTGTGTGCCCAGCAATTTTTTCATTCTTTATAATGTTCTATTGTCTATGGTATAACTCACACCTGTGTAATCAGGAAAAATTAAGCTATGAGGCATGAGTACTAAAAACGTTGAGAGGATGGTGGTAAAATATTCCTGTAAAAAATGTTATTCTAGGGCTTTCAAGAGTTTATCCAGCTGCCCCCCTAAAGGAGAGGAGAAAACAGAAATCCTAAAAAAGGACCAAGGAAAGACTCCTGCTAATCATTTATGACAATCACACACGACATCATCCAGCAAGCCTTTGTTGTTTGTATGTTTTGTTTTTTAGTATTGCAGACAAAAAGATGTGTGTTTACTTTTGAACACAAAATGCTTTGGAATGAAACTGCTCCGTATTAGACAGACAAGGGAAATGCAAGCTTGGCAAACTGTAACTGTCGGCGATTGCATGGCGCCCTCTTGTGGCTCCCCTGGATTCACACTGAGAAACCAGTAACCGCGCAGCATGTTTACAAATTCAACAATCTCGTTATCTATCATTCATCGATTCCCTATTCTGCGCCAGGTGCTAAGTATACTCGGAGTAAAGAATGTCTGCAAATCCTCTCTTACTTTATTCGGGCCACACTAACGTTCGTGAGTATTCATTTGTCTAAGCCGAGAATGCGGATTGATTATGAAGTCACTAAACTGAACCTCACAAACAAATACTGCCTCTCCAATACCGCACAGCCGGATTTCCCGGGGCAAGGCAGGGGAAGAGAGGGGGACTCGGTGAAGACTGCTTGAGTAGCAGATGATTGTCAGCAAGAACACAGCCCATGAGTGGGGCAAGACACATCTGCAGTTTGGACTTTCCAGGTGACCCTGGGAATGACGTATCTGGACTCGATTTAAGCATTCACTTACATTTGGTTGCACAACTCTCCCTCCCCGCCCCCGAGTTTAAATTACAAAACCGAGTAACACCCACAGCTCGTCTTTCTAATTGTACTGACATCTTTTATTTATTTATTTATTTATTTATTTAATTTTTACGAGACAGGGTTTCTCTGTATTGTTTTGGAGGCTGTCGGTCCAGCCTGGCCTGGAACTCACAGAGAGCCCCCTGCCTCTGCTTCCCGAGTGCTGGGATTAAAGGCGTGCGCCACCACTTCCCGGCCTTGTACTGACATCTTTAACAGCACCCAGATTAGGGTTGGGGAGACAGCTCAGTGGTGGAGGCCTGCGATCACATTACTAAAAATAAACCAGACATGGTGGCATATGCAGTCTGATCCACAAAGCGAGTTCCAGGACAGCTAGGGTTTGAAAACCAAAAAAAGTGTCTAAATTTTTTTTTATGAGTGTTTGGTTTGGATGTATGTCTGAACATCACGTGTGTTCGTAGTGCCCATGGAGATAAGAAGGCGGCATCACATGACCTGGAACTGGTTTTATTTTATTTTTTATTTGTTTGTTTTTCGAGACAGGGTTTCTCTGTATTGTTTTGGAGGCTGTCCTGGAACTCGCGCTGTAGACCAGGCTGGCCTCGAACTCACAGAGATCCGCCTGTCTCTGCCTCCCGAGTGCTGAGATTAAAGGCGTGCGCCACCACCGCCCGGTTTGGAACTGATTTTAAAGGCGGTTGTGAGCTTCATTGTGAGCACTGGGAATTGAACTTGGGTCTCCTAGTGGAGCAGCCGATTTTCTTAACAGCTGAGCCGTCTCTCCAGGCCCTGGAGTCCATTCTTAACACTGAGGGAGAGGTGAGAAAACGCGCAGACACACTCTAGACTGTAATGCCAGGGGCTCAAACCTCAGTCCTCACCCTGCAGAATACAGACTACTACTGACCTCACCTCCAGGGATAATTCCAAAACTATGTTCACAATTATTTATGTTCATTTAATTTAACGCTTTCCCATCCGCTCATTGACCGTCAAGGTCCGATCCTTTGTTCACTCCACCAGGACCTCTTTTTAAGGGTTTATTTATATTTAGGGGTGTGTGGTGTGCATGCCTGCGGGGACATCGGAGGCCCTGCAGTTGGGGTTACAGTACAAGCGATTGTGAGCCACCATGTGGGCGCTTTCTCTGGGAAGAGACTACTCTGTTATATACCCTCGGTTAACCGCTGAGCCACTTCTTCAGCCTCTCTAACCCCACCTCCAATCCAGGGTGTGGCCCGAGGACACGTTTCCAGTCGCGTTGCGTTTTGCCCGGACCTGGATTTATCTAGCCGGGGTTTTCTTTGTTGGGGCTTGAGTGCAACCGCCACGCGGTGGTGTGCGACGTCACGCTGCCGAGATACTTCTAGGTGAAATGCTAATGATCGTAAAGACCCCGCGGAGAGATCGCAGGGGACCTCCAGGGCCCCGCGGCGTAGGAAACACCGAGTTCAGAGGGGAGCGCTCGGTGGGGCGGAGCCCAGGCCACGTAGGGCCGCTAGCCTCTCCCAGCCCGCGTCCTGTGGCTCGGCCCCGCCCATAGCGCGAAACCACGCCCTCTCCGTGCCCAGGCCACGCCCTCAACTAGGGTTTTGGGTTATTTTTTCTTCCTCCTCCCCCACCCTCACCCTCGCGGCCTGCAGCGACGCATGCGCGGGGCGGCGGAGTGAGTGCGGCCGGGCCTGGCGGGCAGGGAGGGCGCGGGCGGCGGCCGGGCACCCCCTCCGTACCATCGCCCGGGCGGGCCTCGGCGGAGCTGCGCTGCTGCGTGAGGTGAGGGCCGGCCTGCCGGGGCCTGCGCGCCGAGTGAGGGCCGCGGAGCGAGCGGGGCCTGCCCGGCCGGGTGCGTATCGGCCACCGCGGCTCGGGTGGACGCGGCGGCGGGGAGGCCCACGCCGGCCTGCAGGAGGCCGCTCCCGCGGGGCATCCAGCGGGGACCCGGCCCTGCGTCCTCACGGATGGCGGGTCTCAGGAGGGGCCAGAGGGGACCAGCGCTCTCCGAAACCCGCTTCTGTTCCTGTTATTTGTGGCAGGGTCTTGTGTAGCCCAGGCTGGGCTTAGGGGCGTGAGCCACTACGCCGGGCTTCAATTAGAATGTAAAAATTCTCTTTATGTTTGAAATTATCTGCGTTTCTTGTGCGCATGCATGCGCACGTGTGGCGCGGCGCAAGTGGAGAGGTCAGAGGACAACTGTGAAGAAGTCTGTTCTTCCACCATGTGGGTTTCAGGAACCACTCGGGTCAGGCTTGCCGGTAAGCGCCTTCCGAGCCATCACGCCGGTCCTGAAAATACTTATTTTTACGGTGGTGAAAAATAAAGTGTTTTAAACGTCTTAAAAACGCAACGACCCTGTGTCAAGAAATTTAGTGTTGGGAGCTGGAGAGAACACCCAGTTAGAATAGGCTCCTAAGTGCCTCTAACTATCTCCAGGATATCCGGGACACTCTTGGACTACACAACACACACACAGGAAAACAGTCTATTTTTTAGATGCATCTTTATATTGTGTAGAGACATATTGTGCATGAAAAGCCTTTGCCTGTTTGGGAAGCACTAGTAAGTGTTTTGCAGATGCCTACGTGTGTGTTACCTGTTTATTTTGTTTTTAGGAGACCATCTTTCTGTGTAGTCCTGCTTCAGCCTCCTGAGTGCTGGGATGTCAGCTGTGAGCCACTGAGCTCGGCTGTTGACATGGGATTTTTTTTTTTTTAAGTTTTCCGAGATAGGGTTTCTCTGGGTAGCCCTGGCCATACTGGAACTCAGTCTGTAGACCAGGCTGACCGAGATCCACCTGCCTTTGCTTCCCAAGTGCTGGGATTAAAGGTGTCTGCCACCACTGGCCAGCTATGGAGGATGATTTTTTAAAATAGTTTTTCATATGTTGTGCTCCCAATTTTTAAGGAATATGTATGTAGACTGCCAGCCAGACTGCCCTTTGCCTGTGAATGAGGTTGGGGCTTTTTAAAGTGGGAATTTTTCTTCATGTTTCCTCAAACGCAGCCAGGAGTAGTGGTGCATACTTTTGATCCCTGCACTCTGGTGGACACAGAGGCAGGCCTCAGTGCGAAAAGAAACCACTTACCACCAAAGATAGACAAATTCAGAATTAACACATGACCTCATCTCATCTGCTCACTCTTTGAAACACTATGTACTTCTGACTGGCTTGGAACTCGCTGTGTAGACCAGGCTGGCCAAGAACTCAAAGCTATCTACTGGTCTCTACCTCCTGGGGGCTGGGAATAAAGGTGCGCACCACCACACTCAGCAAAGTAGAGGGTTTTTGTTTGTTTTGGGGGTGGTTCTTCCTCCCCACCCCCAGACAAGGGTGCTCCGTGTAGCCCTGGCTGCCCTGGATCTCACTCTGTAGCTCAGGATGGCCTCAAACTCACAGAGATCAGCCTGCCTCTGCTGGGGTTAGAGGTAACTGCTGTAGCCACCGCCACCTAACTCTTCTTCCTTTCTTTTTTTAAAATAAGTGATACATTATGAACTGTGGATACATCACCAAGATTAAACTTTTTTTTCTGAGTAAGTAGATTTTAAGTGGTTTAATTTTAAATGTCCTGGTTTTCTACAGTGATGTGAATATAATGATCGACCATCTTTTTGACAGAACTAGTTCATCTGATTCATATTATGTAGGAAGCCAAATGTCTGGAGCTGGCAAGATGGCTCAGTGTGTAAAGGCACCTGTTGCCAATCCCAATGACCTGAGCTCGATCCCCTGGAAACAGCACCTACCTCTGTGCTATGGCGCTTCCGCATGTGTGTTCACTCCAAATGTCTTTATGAAGGCGCTTGTGCATACTATTTGCTGTGTGAAGGTTGATTAGCAAGTTTTGGTTGTGAATAATAAACTTTTGGTGGCGTTCAGTCCTAAGGCAAACTCTCACTCATCTTACTTCTCTCACTTGACAAGCCAAGTCCAGCTTGCTATTTTAAATAATTTTAATGCCATGTTTGGTTTCCTTTTCTTCTTATGTTCTGAACAACCTAAAATATCCTGTTGATATCTTTTCAGTGTTCTCCCTGATACTAGGATATATATTAGGATATGAGCTACAAGAAACCCTGTCTCCAGAAACCAGAGAATGCTGTTTATGGTGCTGGGTGAAGCATTTTGTGTATGTACCTAATGTTTCTATAAGAGTATAACTATCAGTTTTTCAGATATCCTTTCCCCTCTTCTGCTTGTGGCTAAGAACTTGAAGCAAGATGAACTTGCTGGTGATGGTGTGGACCAATGAGGATTCATATACACAGAGTTAGCTACTTGATGCCAGCAGTCCAAAGACACGTACTCTGTCTTTGGTCTTGCCATGTCCTCATGGACTTTATCGGAGTTGGTTTCTTCATTGCTTAAAATGAGGTGAGTTTAATAGGAACCCCTTTGTATCCCTCTGTTCCTTGTGGGACTGTTGGGAAGATGATGTGAGAAAATGTGTTTAGTAAATGGCAACTATCACCTTATTGTGTGATCATGTGACATACGGTGCTGTGACAGACCCAGAAGTAATGTGTGCTCTCAGGAAGCATGATTTGTCCTGTGACCCCATCTGTAATCCCAGGACTCAGAAGGCTAGGACAGGACCACCATGCGGTTTCTGGGCTAGACCAGACTAATAGGCCCTGTCTCAAGAAACTGAAAGGGAAGAAGTGGGGGAGAGAAAAGCAGTATTGGGGTGCTCCCTGCTGTTCTCATCAGTGGACAGATGTTAAGCTGAGCTGGGAGAAGGAACTTTAATTTTTGGTTTTTCTAGACAGTGTTTCTCTGTGTAATGGCCCTGGCTGTCCCAGAACTTGTTCTGTGGACATGACTGGCATTGAACTCAGAGAAGTCCACCTGCCTCTGCCTCCCAAGTGCTGGAATTAAAGGCATACACCACTACAACCAGCCATTTGTGATTTTTCTAGTTACTGAATAAATCAATGCAGACTTATAATGTAGTTTTGGCATCAAGATACAGCGATGGCTATGAACAAAGGTAAATTTGTTTCAAAGAAATATGAAAATTTTACATATAATAGAATGTTTATTTTATTATTTATTATTTATTTATTTATTTTTTCGAGGCAGGGTTTCTCTGTATTGTTTTGGAGCCTGTCCTGGAACCCGCTCGGTAGACCGGGCGAATCTCGAATTCACAGGGATTCACCTGTCTTTGCCTCCCGAGTGCTGGGATTTAGAGTTTAGAACGCATAAAGAATATACATGAGTTAAAGATTTATTTATTGTGTGTACAGTATTCTGTCTGCAAGTATGCTTGCAGGCAAGAAGAGGACACCAGATCTCATTACAGATGGCTGGGAGCCACCATGTGGTTGCTAGGAATTGAACATCTGGAAAAGTAGCCAGTGCTCTTAACCTTTGAGCTATCTCTCCAACCCCCTTTCTGGAGCTAATTTAAGATGTGAAAGCAAGCCTGGTCTACAAAGCAAGTTCCAGAACATCCTCCAAAACAATACAGAGAAACCCTGTCTCGAAAAACCAACAAACAAAAAAGATGAAAGCATTTACCCCTGAGCTACCTATGGCTCAATTAACGATGCTATTGCTTATATGACTGCTGGTCTCTTTTACTTCCAGGTATTTTTTGCCATCTCTGGAAATTTGCCTGTAATTCATTTTCCTCACTGCAGTATTGAGAATTATACCAAGTAAGTGGAATACAGCCAAATTAATTAGAGTAAATTTTCTAGTGGTACATAAGAGTTTACTTGTTTAGTGATTGCTACACTTGTATTCTCACTAGAATGTTGAGTGTGGCCTCATAATTATTAAGATTTTCTTTTCTTGAGAATTACTTATTCCAAGATCCTGTACAATTTTTTTTTACTGGAAGCCATTATGTTAATTGACCCAGAGCTATATTTTTTTAAGAAAAAATATCCATGTTTAACTTAAAATCTGCAGAAACTTTGTATGCCCACACGCATAATGTGTGTGTGTGTGTGTATGTGTATGTATGCATGCACACTCATGTGAACGTGCCTAGAACTCTTTATGTAGACCAGGTTAGCCTAAAACTCTGCCTGTCTCAGTTTCCCAAGTGCTGGGACTAAAAGATGAGTGTTGCTTTGTTTTATGAGGCATGTCTCGTAGTCTAGGCTTATCTGGTAGGCTTTCTGTGTTTTCAATAGAGGCATTGTGCAGTGTTGTTCTTGGGACACCTATTTTCATGTTCCACACTGCTTTCTTTATAAAATATTATATATGTATGAATGTGTTACACCACATGCACACTTGTTGCCCTTGGAGGCCACAGAAGACAGATCTCCTGGACTCCAATTACAGACAGCTGTGAGCCACCACACCGGTGCTGGGAATTGAACCCAGGAACTCTGAAAAGGTAGCCAGTCTCCTTAGAAAAAACTGCTTAGCCATTTCTCCACCTTCCAGATTTCTTATTGGCAATAAATTCTTTGGCTCATATACAATAATATCAGTTATTGTGCCATGTCTGTTAAATGATTTTCATTTTTTAGATTGAAAAGATATGAATGAATATCCTAAAAAAAGAAAAAGGAAGACTTTACACCCTTCTCGTTATTCAGGTTAGTATATAATTGAAGTATTTTCAAAAGAGTAATAGATTGATTTCCATGTAGACCATCTTTTGGTATGAGAATACTGATGAAGTCCTTTGCTTATACTTGGTCTGCTAGATGATGTGCTACAGGGATGCTTTATATGACATTACATTTACTTAACTCAGCCCTGTGGGCTATAAATACTTGAAATTACATTTCCAAACTTCCTTCTAATGTAGCATGATTGGACTTGGACAGTCAGACTCATAACTGTGCTTAAGGTACTGTGTACTTTCTTTTCCTTGTCTGAGTTTTATCTACATGTGTATGTGGCACCATGTACATGCCTGGTACCTAGGGAAGTTAGAAGAGGGTGCTGGATCCCCTAGAACTGTAATTACAGATGGTTGTGAACCACCATGTAGGTGCTAGAACTCAACCCAAGTCCTCTGTAAGAGCAACAAGTGCTCTCAATCACTGAGCCATCGCTCTGCTTCCCCAGATTTCATCTTGATTGTGTGGTTTGTGACAGAGACTGGCTCTGTTAACACAAGAAGAGAGCTGGGCTGGAGTTGTTGCTCAGCGTTTAGACTACTTGCCTAGCATACATGAAACCCTGGGTTCACCTCTAATCTGATCACTTGGAGATGGAGGCAGGGAAGACTCAGAGTGAGTCCAGCTTGGGCTGTGTGTGATCCAGTCTGAAAAAGAGACAGGTGGTAGTACACACCTTTAATCTTAGCACTCCAGACAGATCTCTGAGTTCAAGGTCAGCCTGGTCTACAGACCAGAGTTCCAGGACAGCCAAGATTACACAGAGAAACCCTGTCTTGAAAGAAAGGAAGGAAGGAAGGTAGCAAGAAAGAAAAAAAAAAGGAGATCTTTGCGTCTGTCTGTAGCACATATAGTTGAGACTGTTTCAGGCATACCCATTAGCTTGCTCCAAGCACATGTACCCTCTGAGGAAGGTGAGCTTGGTCTATTGCGTATTGGTGCTTCCTAGGCAATTTTGGAATGACTGGTATTCAGAAGCTCTCTCTGCCCCTGAGACTATTTCTTCTCATGTATTATGCTTTCGTGGCACTATGTGGCCTGCTTTAGAAGTTCATGGTAGCCGGCATTGGTGGCACACGCTTTAAGCCCAGCACTTGGGTGGCAGAGGCAGGTGGATATCTGTGAGTTCAAGGCCAGCCTGGTCTACAGAAAGAGTTCCAGGACAGCCTCCAAAACAATGCAGAGAAACACTGTCTCAAAAAAAAAAGTTCATGTTAGTAAATTAATAATTAATAGAGTATTTATTGCATATGTATATTTTGTGAGATTTGCACTATAAGGCCATGTTTCCTTGTATGTTTTCAAAGGAATATTCATCTTTATGTGTATGAGTGTTTTGCCTACATGTATGATGCGAACCACAAGCCTAGTGCCTGTGGAGGCCAGAAGGTTTCAGATCCCCTGGAACTGAGTTAGAGTTGTGAGCCACCATGTTAACTGTAACTAGCTCCTCTGCAACAGTATCTGAGTCATCTCTCCAGCCCCTGTTTCTAAGGTTTTAGTTTAATCTTACTTAAATTAATTTTAGAATTAGCTGGGCGGTGGTGGCACACTCCTTTAATCCCAGCACTCGGGAGGCAGAGGCAGGCGGATCTCTGTGAGTTAGAGGCCAGGCTGGACAGACAGCCTCCAAAACAATACAGAGAAGCCCTGTCTGGAAAAACCAAAAAAAAAAAAATTAATTTTAGAATTAGAATTAATGTCTTGCTGGTCCACCTTAGCTTCTGCAGTGCGGACACCATAGGTGTGGCCTTTCTTTGAGGGGGGGGTCGGTTCGAGACAGGCTTTCTTTGTGGCTTTGGAGGCTGTCCTGGAGCTAGCTCTTGTAGATCAGGCTTGCCTTGAACTCACAGAGATCGGCCTGCCTCAGCCTCCTGATTGCTGGGATTAAAGGCGTGTGCCACCAACGCCCAGCATCTGTGGCTCTTTTAAAGCCAATGTCGCCTGGCGATGGTCATGCACACCATTAGTCCCAGCTCTCGGGAAGCAGAGGCAGGTGGATCTCTGTGAGTTTGAGGCCCAGCCTGGTCTACAGAGAGAGTTCCAGGACAGCCTCCAAAACAATACAGAGAAACCTTGTCTCAAAAAAAACCAAAAAAAGCCAATGTCAGTGTCTAAACTAAAGTGTGAAACTAGGACATGCTACATTTTTCGTAGTGATGTCATTCAAATCATGAAAACACAGGCTAGAGATAGAAATGTCTGTGTAGAGGATTTGCCTGGTATGTGCAAGGCACTGGGTTCAATATTTAACATGGGGGTAGGGAGTAGATTAAAAATATGTCAAACAAGCTTGTGTATTATACTGGGAATTGTCTTCATTTTGTTTCATATGCAGATTCTTCTGGAGTAAGCAGAATCACAGATGGGATCAGTGGGATCTTTTCTGATCATTGTTACAGTGTCTGCTCTATGAGACAGCCAGACTTAAAATACTTTGACAACAAAGGTAAGTCTCCTTTTTTCCAGAATGCTTTTACAGAACCGAGGGATGCCTCTGTAGTGTGTGCCTACTATATGTAAGAACTAACTCCTCGGCTGGAGAGATGGCTCAGAGATTAAGAGCACTGGCTGCTCTTTCAGAGGTCCTGATTTCAATTCCCAGGAACCACAAGGTTGCTCACAACCATCTATAATGAAATCTGGTGCCCTATTCTGGCATGCAAGCACACATGCAGGCAGAAAACTGTATAAATAATAAACAAACAAATCTAAAAAAAAAAAAAAAAGAACTAATTCCTTGTAGTACTACAAAAAAAAATCTAAGTTGCCTTTACATGTTTTTCTTTAGGAATTATCTGAAAAGGTAGCACCCCACACATACCAACAAAAGACAGGGTTTCTCTGTGAGCCCTAGCTGTCCTGTAGACCAGGCTTGTCTGGAACTCACAGAGATCTACCTGCTTCTGACTCCCAAGTGCTGGGATTAAAGGCGTGTGCCATCACCACATGGCATGAGTTCCTTCCTTAAGCAGATGGGAGCCAACTCTCCACTTCTTGCTTTAGGCTTCTCAGTGACTTTCAGAGAGTAGGGTATGGAAAGGACAAGAACAGCTTCACAGTACAGAAACCAAAATGCCAGGTTAGATAAGTCAGAGGGTTAGTTAGCTCAGCAGTTAGTGTGTGCTGTGGAAGTGATGGCAGTAGGGTCAACCCTCCATGATCTCATAGTTCAAGTCTAATCATGAAAGAAAGAAATAGATAAATTCCATTAGTAGAGAATTCTACAAAGTGGCTGACCAATAGTCCTTAAAACAGTTTCCAGTCACTTAGAAAGACATGGCTAAATGTATTGTGGGATGCAGAAGGACATTGGGTAAAACAAAGTATGGGCTTTAGTTAGTAATAATGTATCAGTGTCAGTGGTCATATGTCATCACTAATTGCAACATGCCCCATACTAGTGTAAAGAATTAATAGTGGGAAATGTTGTGATGTATTAGGAGCACTTTATACTATTTTCATGATTTCCCCCCCAAGTCTAAAACTTTTTTTAAAACAGTCTATTAAGGCTGGGCGGTGGTGGCGCACTCCTTTAGTCCCAGCACTTGGGAGGCAGAGGCAGGCAGATCTCTGTGAGTTCCAGGCCAGCCTGGTGTACAAACGCTAGTTTCAGGACAGCCTCCAAAGCCACAGAAAAACTCCCGTCTTTAAAAAAAACAAAAAACAAAAAAAAAACAAAAACAGTCTATTAAAACACACACATATTTCAGTCCAGTTTTCTCTCTTGTCCCTTGTATTAGTTTCCTGTGCTAACTTGGAGGGAATGAGGCTAGACTCAAGGAATAATGACTCAGTCTGGTTCCTTAGGAAGCTCAGTGTGTTCTAGTCTAAGTAGGGCATATAAACAAAGGCAGTGGGTTACTCTGGAGTAGTCAGTACTGTAGGGATCTGTAATAGGTAATATGTCTTTTTGTGGCTAAATCTTAGTTGTTCTTATTGATGTTAGAAGTATTTTGTGATGCTTAATGCTTTGATATAAAATGCCTTTCCATATTCTTTTTACAGATGATGATTCTGATCCTGAGACATCTAATGATTTGCCCAAGTTTACAGATGGAACCAAAGGTAGAAATAGGAATCAGAACTACCTGGTTCCCAGCCCTGTGCTTAGGATTCTAGACCACACCGTCTTTTCCACAGGTGAGGGGAGCTCATTAACTAATAGCACGTAGCATATTTTGTACAGATCAGGTAAGAGCAGGACATACCTCATTGACTCAGGTCTGACAAATGGGGAACCTGCATAATCCCGAACTAGACTCCCTTAATATAGATGACGATGGTGTGACTGGGACAATATGTGAGGCCACTGACAGTGGGTCCAAGATCTAACTCTAATGCACAGACTGATTAGTGGAGCCCATTTCATATGGAGAGATACCTTGCTCAGCCTAGACACAGGGGGGGATGGGGTGGAGAGGTGCCTTGGTACTGCCTCAAAGAGATGATGGGGCAGACTTAGTAGACTTCCTAGAGGAGCCCTTACCCTCTCTGAGGAGCAGATGGGGGGGGTGGTAGAAGGAGAGAAGGGAGGGGGAACTGGGATTGGAATGTAAAAAATGAATTAATTAAAACATTTTTGAAAAACAGTGCATACCATAACTACTTTTCACACAATTGTCTCTAATGGGGCTGGTATAGTGACAGTTGATGTTTCTAATGGGGCTTACTTATTAGTACAGTACTACAGCAGGGGGCTTACTTTGTTTCAGATAAGTCTGCTGATGTTGAAATCTGTGATGAAGAATGTGACTCCCCTGAGGCAGTGCACCCGCAAACTCAAGAAGAGAGCCCTATAGAGGTCCACACCTCAGAGGACGTCCCCATTGCTGTGGAAGTTCATGCGATTTCTGAAGACTATGATGTAGAGACAGAGAACAATTCCTCCGAGAGCCTCCAAGACCAGACTGATGAAGAACCACCAGCTAAACTCTGTAAAGTACTTGACAAGAGCCAGGCTTTGAATGTGACTGCCCAGCAGAAGTGGCCTTTGCTGAGAGCCAATAGCAGTGGCCTCTACAAGTGTGAACTCTGTGAATTCAACAGTAAGTATTTTTCTGACCTGAAGCAGCATATGATCCTGAAACACAAGCGCACTGACTCAAATGTGTGTCGAGTGTGTAAGGAAAGCTTTTCCACCAATATGCTTCTCATTGAGCATGCCAAACTTCACGAAGAAGACCCCTACATCTGTAAGTACTGTGACTATAAGACAGTGATCTTTGAGAACCTCAGCCAGCACATTGCGGACACCCACTTCAGCGACCACCTGTACTGGTGTGAGCAGTGTGATGTGCAGTTCTCCTCAAGCAGTGAGCTCTACCTGCACTTCCAGGAGCACAGCCGCGACGAGCAGTACCTGTGCCAGTTCTGCGAGCACGAGACAGGCGACCCTGAGGACCTGCACAGCCACGTGGTCAACGAGCATGCGCGAAGACTGATAGAGCTGAGCGACAAGTGCGGCAGTGGTGGGCACGGGCAGTGCAGCCTTTTAAGCAAGATCACCTTTGACAAGTGCAAAAACTTCTTTGTGTGTCAAGTATGTGGATTTCGGAGCCGACTTCACACAAACGTGAACAGACACGTTGCTATTGAGCATACTAAGATATTCCCTCATGTCTGTGATGACTGTGGGAAGGGCTTTTCCAGCATGCTGGAATATTGCAAGCATCTGAATTCACATCTATCTGAAGGGATTTATTTATGTCAATATTGTGAATATTCAACTGGACAAATTGAAGATCTTAAAATTCATCTTGATTTCAAGCATTCAACTGACCTGCCTCATAAGTGTAGTGACTGCCTGATGAGGTTTGGGAATGAAAGGGAATTAATCAGTCACCTTCCAGTCCATGAGACTACCTGACTGTTATCCTTACATAATGTTTATGTAAAATAATAAATTCTTTTTTCATGTGAAAATGGGTGATCTGAAACACAATTTGTATAATTAGCCTTTGACAAGTTTCTGACTGTTAGGTTTCTGGCATTACTGTTTTTTTTCAGTATATAGTTATAGTTAATGAGGGTGTTACAATTGCATGTTAGTCTATATTGTTACTTTTTGTGATGGTTACCTAGTTTCTTGCCTATGCTCCAAGTTCATGAATGGAAACAAGTACTGATGTAACTGACCACAGTTTTCTTTCTTTAACTATAGGAGCTACTGTCCTGTCTTTTTAAAACTGAAGACAACCTTCTATGAGTCAAACTGTTGCACTACCAGAAGTAGGGCACAGAGTACATATGTGTGGTGGTGGTGGTTTTCAGAGTTGATGTGGAGTGCTTTGCCTGTATGTTAGCCCACCAGGTGTGTGACACCAGGTGTGTGATGTGCAATGAAGGCCAGAGAGGGCATCAGATCCCCTGGAGCTGGAGTTAGGAACAGCTCTAACTGGGTTGAGACAAGGTTTCACTCTGTAGCCCAAGTGGGTTTCAAACTATCATAATCTTGCCTCAGCCTCTTAGATACTGAGAAGGCAGGCATAAAGCTCCACACCAACGAGTGTTATTTTGTTTTTTAAGATTTATTTATTGCGTATACAGTATTCTGTCTGCATGTATGCTTGCAGGCCAGAGAAGGGCGCCAGATCTCATTACAGATGGCTGTGAGCCACCATGTGGTTGCTGGGAATTGAACTCAGGACCTCTGGAAGGGCAGCCAGTGCCCTTAACCTGAGCCATCTCTCCAGCCCCCAGTCAATGTTTTTAAAGCTTCTGCTTAAGGTGAAGGATATGAGGGGGACAGCTGGGAAGGTTTGAGACAGTAAGCATGCAACCACCTCACACTCCTCCATAACAGTTGGCACTTGATCTTCATCTAAATACCTATTACTGGAGCTGCTAGCATTCCACCCTCAGTTATATACCTGCGAATTCATGCCCCAACTTCAGACAAAAATTTATCTATGTATTGAGAAGACCCACTGACGCAGAGTTAGGAATGTGGGGATGAAGGGTTTCTGGTATAATATATTGATTAATCTGTCCGCATCAGTGTCTGTTGAGACAGCTACAAAGCAGGTCTCTTAGATAGTAGAAATGTAACCAGTTTTAGTTCTGAAACCACTGGCAGAGGTGCTACCCTGACGGCCACTACAAAAAGAAAGATCTGACCCTAGCTTCTCAGCTTTGTCACTGGCAGTCTGCCATTGTGTTCTCCTGACTTTATTCTGTCCCTAATCTCCATGGCTTTATTGGATCACCAATCATATGGCCAGTCCTACGAAGCTCACTCAAGATCTGCCAGCCGGGTGTTGGTGGCACAAGCCTTTAATCCCTCTGTCTCCTGAGTGCTGGGACTCAAGAGGTGTGCCTCCACCACCCAGCAAGAAAAATAATTTGATGTACATTGGTGTTTTACCTGAAGGTATGTGTGAGTTCGAGACCAAGCCTGGTCTACAGGACAGCTAGGGCTACATGATTTTCAGAAAGCCAAGTGTTGGTGGCACTCTCCTTTAATCCCAACACTCGGGAGGCAGAGGTAGGTAGGATGGAGGCCATCCTGGTCTATAGAGCCAGTTCCTGGACAGCCTCCAAAAGGATAGAGAGAAACCCAGTCTCAAAAAAAAAAGGGGGGGGGTAAAATAAGAAATAAAAAATCTCCAGTCTTTCGCCTGATCCACTGAGGTCAGTAAAGAAAAGGGGAACTGAGAGATATAAAAAGTCTGGCCAGAAAGTAAGGCTATGAGGATGTATTAAAAAAGGGGTACTGCCGGGCGTTGGTGGCACACGCCTTTAATCCCAGCACTTGGGAGACAGAGGCAGGTGGATCTCTGAGTCGAGGCCAGCCTGGTCTACAAGAGCTAGTTCCAGGACAGCCTCCAAAGACACAGAGAAACCCTGTCTCGGAAAACAAAAATAAATAAATAAAAAGGGTACCAAGATAGGAGTACCAGATTAAATCTCCAGGCCTTCTGCCTGACAAAGGTCAGGAAAGTAAGGGGACCCTGAGAGAAGGCCCTCAGTTGGAGGGTGGATTGGATTAAATCTCCAGTAAGAAAGAAAAATTGAGAGGTTGCCCTCAGTTGGAGGGTGGATTACATTAAATCTCCATGCCTTAGCCTGACAAAGACCAGGAAAGTAAGGGGACACTGAGAGATTGCCCTCAGTTGAAGGGGGGGGGTTGGATTAAATATCTAGGCCTTAGCCTGACACTAAGGTCGGGAAAGAGGGGAACCCAGAGATTGCCCTCAGTTGGAGGGTGTATAGTATAAATCTTAAGGCGTTTTGCCTGAGGGAATATCCTGGGTTGAAGGGTGGATTGAAAATGGGTGAATAGCCGGCTGTCGGTGGCACACGCCTTTAATCCCTGCGTGCCTTTAATCCCAGTACTCGGGAGACACAGGCAGGCAGATCTCTTGAGTTCAAGGCCAGGCTGGTCTAGAGAGCAAGTTCCAGGAGGACAGCCTCCAAACAATACAGAGAAACCCTGTCTCAAAAAAAAATGGGTGAATCAAAAAAATTTGTAATAGTAAATGAGGAACTGGTATTAAGTAAAGAAAAAGAAAAAGACAAAGGTATATGGAATGGAAAATTCTGTTTGTATTTAAGTCCTATTTTGTGAGTCATCTATAAAACTTTTGGCCAAAACCCTGGTCTCTCCACCTTGCATCTACAGAGTTACAAGGAGTAGGTATGGCTGTACCCCATGACTGTAGCTCAAATGGAGGAATGATGAGGGGCATACAGGACTTTTTAACCCTTTTAGTTCAAGGATTGGCTGGAGTTGTTCTTTTACATAGATTTCAATTAAGGAAGCTTCATTTCAACAGATGAATCATGACCTAGGGAAAAAGGATGACTGAAAGATGCATGTATGTTCTGAATGTATGGTGTGGGCACACTGGTATATATGAAATGTGATTGTGAATGCGTGAGTGTGAACTGCTTATATGATTTTTTTTTTTTTTTTTGGTTTTTACGAGACAGGGTTTCTCTGTATTGTTTTGGAGGCTATCGGTCCAGCCCTGCCTCGAACTCACAGAGATCCGCCTGCCTCTGCCTCCCGAGTGCTGGGATTAAAGGCGTGTGCCACCAACGCCCGGCTTATATGATTAAAAGGATACTTAAATCCCTTAAAAATAGTTCAAAAGCTACCTAAATTCCTTTAGATATAGCCAAAAGGAACATCCAGCCAGTCGGTTAATGTGTTAACAGAAAAATTTAAGATGAAAATGAGGCCTTGTCAGCTAGTGAGAGCTCTACAGGTTAGATTGGGAAAGACTGCTCAGAGACTTCAAATAATTTTCAAAAGTTATTTGGGACACAGTACAGTTTACAATCTTTGAGTGATTTTCAGAAGTTTTTGGCAAATGCTTAATGGATATGTCCTTTTTAGAGGGCATCTACAAAAAATCTAGGTAGTGATCCCAATTCACCTAGAGAGTTAACCAAGGAAGGTAGACAAATCCTTCTACTGTTATGGTCCAGCTTCAACAGTTCAAAGAATTTTTTTTAGAAAATAAAAAAGGAGCCGGGCGTTGGTTGCGCATGCCTTTAATCCCAGCACTCGGGAGGCAGAGGCAGGCAGATCTCTGTGAGTTCGAGGCCAGCCTGGTCTACAGAGCGAGTTCCAGGACAGCCTCCAAAGCCACAGAGAAACCCTGTCTCGAAAAACAAAATTAAAAATAAAAAAAATAAAAATAAATAAATAAAAAAGGGGGAGTAATGTCCCCAGTCCCCACATGATTCATCAAATAATACATTCCTCATTTAAAAATTTTAAAATGTGAATGCCAGTGAGAAATCAGCTTCAGACAGATTCTGGCATGATGGAACTTGAGCAACTATTGCTCAGGTCAAATGGAGACATCCATGCAATAGACAGTGGAGAATTCTCGCCCCTAATTTGGGGTCAAGGGCATGTTTGTGTTTTCTTGCAGGAAAAGAATAAAGCTTAGGCAGCTGTCAGACCATTTGGTGAGGTGCATGGAGCAGAGAACAACTGGACCTGAGACCATGGGAGCCTACCTAAGCCAGTTTGAGTGCGATCTCCTAAATCAGTGTTCCTGACCCTTGATGTCATTGAATCTACAGCCTGAGAAAGAAGGAAGATAGTCGGTTTGAGATTTCCAGTTTCTCTACAGGCCTGCTGCATCAACCTCCCGGACCCGTGAGATTTCATCCTGAAGCCAACAGAGAACTGGAAAGAATAACTGTCTGCCCTTGACACACCTTGAAACAACAGAATTCATTTTGCCAGTTTTTCCCTTTGGGGGAAAAAAGCACCCCTTTAAAAATTTGGGCATTGGTATGGACTGTGATGAGTGGCAAAAGACTCTTTTCAGTATTTGAACAGGACATGGTCACTTGAAATATCAGACTTGGTGGTTCCTGTTTCTGGAATCGTGGCTATGCAGGTGTATTTTTCTGGAGAAATGCAACTTGTCCTAATGAGACAAAAAGGAGACTTTGGCTCAAGTCACATTCAGCTGAGGCCACTGACGTTAAATCAACAAACTGCATCACCACAGGAACAAATTGGTGTTCTGTGGATAGTGCAACAAGCCTCTTGTTCATATTTTTTATAATGCTACATGTGTAACATCAATGATTGTACCTAATGTATCTGTGCAAGTGCACTTTCTAAATGCTTTCCTGAGCAGATCTTAGAACGATTGTAAACTTTATCACTCTTTTGACCATCAAATTGGAAATGTAAATCACAGGGAGGCTGGTAGAATGTTATGGCCCAGATCTGGTGATGGGTACGGTGATGGAGAGGTGCTATGTCAATGAGGGTCCTGGAAATGGTGGCAGTGGCGGTAGGCAATCTGGCTTTATGCCGAGCTCAAACGTGCCTTGTTCCAGAGGCAAGAGATCCGTAACCAAGTATTGCTTAGCTTAGCCCATGGCATCCCGATAGCCATGAAGTTAGGTTACAGATGATTTTTTTTTTTTTGGTTTTTCGAGACAAGGTTTCTCTGTGGCTTTGGAGGCTGACCTGGAACTCGCTCTGTAGACCAGGCTGGCCTCGAACTCACAGAGATCCACCTACCTCTGCCTCCGGAGTGCTGGGATTAAAGGCGTGCTCCACCAACGCACAGCTGGTTACAGATGATTCAAGGACGAGGTTCTTCCGTTGACGGACAACCTGGGGGAAGACCCCTCCCACCTAAGACAGGGGTTCAAGGTCCCCCAAAGACTGGCAAGGGAGGGTGATCCTAAAATATGTTTACTAAAAACAATACAATGCCTGGGGCAATAAGTTCCTGAAAAGGGCTTGCCCATGGGAACCACCCTGTCCTCGACCTTTTCCAAAGACTAAGCACATCCTCAGACCTACCTACATCCACCTCTGGTGTCAGGGTATATAATAACCAGCCAGAGTAGGAATAAAGGAGAGCCTTCTTGAGGAGCCTTCTGGTCTCTGTGTCATCAATCCCAACACCCTCGCCACATTCTCAGACACAGCCTGCACAGTGAACGGCGCAGTACAGTTTCGTAATTAATGATCTATGTGGGAGGGCCCAGTATATAGTGGGTGGTGCCACCCCTGCGCGGTGGTTCTGGGATTTTAAGAAAGGCTGAGCAAGTCTTGAGGAGCGAGCCAGTAAGCAGCACTTCTCCATGGCCTGAGTCTGCATCAGCTGCTGCTCCAAATTCTTGGCTCAACTTCTCTCCATGATGGACTGTGAATGTAGAACTGTAATCTGAAGTAAATAGTTTGCCCATGGAGGTTTGTCATAGCAATAGAAACTCTTAAGACAATGGGTACCTTGGAGGAGTCAAACATTTGGCCTTCCCAGTTAGCTTGATTAAACAAGCATCTCCATGGTGTTAGGTCCCCCACCCCAACTTCGCACCCCACACCCTAAGACAACCATAGACATCTTTTCACGCCGAAGCTACGCTGAGTTTTGAAAACTTTGAAGGGAAAAAACGAAGGGGAGGAGTTGCAAGGGGGAGCAGAAAGGGGCCAAAGTTTCTGTTAAAGGGTGGAGCATGCCTTTAATCCCAGCACTTGGGAGCCAGAGGCAGGTAGATCTCTGTGAGTTCGAGGCCAGCCTGGTCTACAAAGCTAGGTCTAGAACATCCTCCAAAACAATACAGAGAAACCCTGTCTTGAAAAACCAACAAACAGAAAAGATGAAAGCATTTACCCCTGAGCTACCTATGGCTCAATTAATGATGCTATTGCTTACATGACTGCAGGTCTCTTTTACTTCTAGGTATTTTTTGCCATCTCTGGAAATTTGCCTGTAATTCATTTTCCTCACTGCAGTATTGAGAATTATACCAAGTAAGTGGAATACAGCCAAATTAGAGTAAATTTTCTAGTGGTTCATAGGAGTTTACTTGTTTAGTGATTGCTACACTTGTATTCTTACTAGAATGTTGAGTGTGGCCTCATAATCATTATGATTTTTCTTTCTTGAGAATACTTATTTCAAGATCCTGTACAATTTTTTTTCTGGAAGCCATTATGTTAATAGACCCAGAGCTATACTTTTTAAGCAAAAATATCCATGTTTAACTGAAAATCTGCAGAAACTTTGTATTCCCACAGGCATGATGTCTGTGTGTGGGTGTGGGTGTGTATACATGCCTAGACCAGTGCCTAGAACTCTTTATGTAGACCAGGTTAGCCTCAAACTCTACCTGTCTCAGTTTCCCGAGTGCTGGGACTAAAAGATGAGTGTTGCTTTGTTTTATGAGGCAGGTCTGGTAGTCTAGGCTTATCTGGTAGGCTTTCTGTGTTTTCAATAGAGGCACTGTGCAGTGTTGTTCTTGGGACACCTATTTCATGTTGCACACTGCTTTCATTATAAATTATTTAATATGTATGGATGTCTTTTTTGGGGGGGGTTTCGAGACAGGGTTTCTCTGTGGCTTTGGAAGCTGTCCTGGAACTCGCTTGGTACTCCAGGCTGGTCTCGAACTTACAGAGATCCGCCTGCCTCTGCCTCCAGAGTGCTGGGAATGTGTGGATGTCTTACACCACATGCACACTTGTTGCCCTTGGAAGCCACAGAAGACAGATCTCCTGGACTCCAATTACAGACAGGTGTGAGCCACCACACCGGTGCTGGGAATTGAACCCGGGACCTCTGAAAAAGTAGCCAGTCTCCTTAGAAAAAACTGCTTAGCCATTTCTCCACCTTCCAGATTTCTTATTGCCAGTAAATTCTTTGGCTCATATACAATAATATCAGTTATTGTGCCATGTCTGTTAAATGATTTTCATTATTTAGATTGAAAAGATATGAATGAATATCCTAAAAAAAGAAAAAGGAAGACTTTACACCCTTCTCGTTATTCAGGTTAGTATACAATTGAAGTATTTTCAAAAGAGTAATAGATTGATTTCCATGTAGACCATCTTCTGGTATGAGAACACTGATGAAGTCCTTTGCTTATACTTGGTCTGCTAGATGATGTGCTACAGGGATGCTTTATGACAATACATTTCCTTAACTCAGCCCTGTGGGCTCTAAATACTTGAAATTACATTTCCAAACTTCCTTCTAATGTAGCATGATTGGACTTGGCCAGTCAGACTCATAACAGTGCTTAAGGTGCAGCAATAAGTTCAGCAGAAAGTATTTTGCATTGAGGAAAAAAAGCTTTATCTTATCCACTATTTTTGGAACTGTGAACTTTCTTTTCCTTGTCTGAGTGTTTTATCTACATGTGTATGTGGCACCATGTACATACATGCCTGGTGCCTATGGAAGTTAGAAGAGGGTGCTGGATCCCCTGGAACTGTAATTACAGATGGTTGTGAACCACCATGTAGGTGCTAGAACTCAACCCAAGTCCTCTGTAAGAGCAACAAGTGCTCTCAATCACTGAGCCATCGCTCTGCTTCCCCAGATTTCATCTTGATTGTGTGGTTTGTGACAGAGACTGGCTCTGTTAACACAAGAAGAGAGCTGGGCTGGAGTTGTTGCTCAGCGTTTAGACTACTTGCCTAGCATACATGAAACCCTGGGTTCACCTCTAATCTGATCACTTGGAGATGGACGCAGGGAAGAACCAGAGTGAGTCCAGCTTCGGCTATGTGTGATCTAGTCTGAAAAAGAGGCAGGTGGTATTCCACACCTTTAATCTTAGCACTCTAGGCAGAACTCTGAGTTCAAGGTCAGCCTGGTCTACAGACCAGAGTTCCAGGACAGCCAAGGTTACACAGAGAAACCCTGTCTTGAAAGAAAGGAAAGAAGGAAGAAAGAAAAAAAAGGAGATCTTTGCGTCTGTCTGTAGCACATATAGTTGAGACTGTTTCAGGCATACCCATTAGCTTGCTCCAAGCACATGTGCCCTCTGAGGAAGGTGAGCTTGGTCTATTTCATATTGGTGCTTCCTAGGCAATTTTGGAATGACTGGTATTCAGAAGCTCTCTCTGCCCATGAGACTATTTCTTCTCATGTATTATGCTTTCGTGGCACTATGTGGCCTGCCGTAGAAGTTCATGGTAGCCGGCATTGGTGGCACACGCCTTTAATCCCAGCACTTGGGAGGCAGAGGCAGGTGGATATCTGTGAGTTCGAGGCCAGCCTGGTCTACAGAGAGAGTTCCAGGAAAGCCTCCAAAATAATGCAGAGCAACCTGGTCTCAAAAAATAAATAAATAAAAAAGAAGTTCATCGTCGTAAATTAATAATTAATAGAGTATTTATTGCATATGTGTATTTTGTGAGATTTGCACGATAAGGCGCACGTTTCCTTGTATGTTTTTAAAGGAATATTCATTTTTATGTGTATGAGTGTTTTGCCTACATGTATGTATACTAACCACAAGCCAGTTAGTGCCTGTGGAGGCCAGAAGGTGTCAGATCCCCTGGAACTGAGTTACAGTTGTGAGCCACCATGCTAACTGAAACTAGCTCCTCTGCAACAGTATCTGAGTCATCTCTCCAGCCCCTGTTTCTAAGGTTTTAGTTTAATCTTACTTAAATTAATTTTAGAATTAGCCGGGCGGTGGTGGTGCTCACCTTTAATCCCAGCACTTGGGAGGCAGAAGCAGGCAGATCTCTGTGAGTTAGAGGCCAGGCTGGACAGACAGCCTCCAAAACAATAAAGAGAAACACTGTCTCGAAAAACAAAAAAAAAATAATTCTAGAATTAGAATTAATGTCCTGCTGGTCCACCTTAGCTTCTACAGTGCTGACACCATAGGTGTGGCCTTTCTTTGAGGGGGTCGGTTAGAGACACTCTTTTTGGCTTTGGAGGCTGTCCTGGAGCTAGCTCTTGTAGATCAGGCTTGCCTTGAATTCACAGAGATCCGCCTGCCTCTGCATCCTGATTGTTGGGATTAAAGGTGTGTGCCAAGAACGCCCAGGATCTGTGGCTCTTTAAAAGCCAATGTTGCCTGGGGTTGGTCTTGCACACCATTAGTCCCAGCACTCGGGAAGCAGAGGCAAGTGGATCTCTGTGAGTTTGAGGCCCAGCCTGGTCTACAGAGAGAGTTCCAGGACAGCCTCCAAAACAATACAGAGAAACCCTGTCTTTAAAAAAAAAAGCCAATGTCAGTGTCTAAACTGAAGTGTGAAACTAGGACATGCTACATGTTTCCTACTGATGTCATTAAAATCATGAAAACACTGGCTAGAGATAGAAATGTCTGTGTAGAGGATTTGCCTGGTATGTGCAAGGCACTGGGTTCAATATTTAACATGGTGGTAGGGAGTAGATTAAAAATATGTCAAACAAGCTTGTGTATTATACTGGGAATTGTCTTCATTTTGTTTCATATGCAGATTCTTCTGGAGTAAGCAGAATCACAGATGGCAGCAGTGGGATCTTTTCTGATCATTGTTACAGTGTCTGCTCTATGAGACAGCCAGACTTAAAATACTTTGACAACAAAGGTAAGTCCCCTTTTTTCCAGAATGCTTTTACAGAACCGAGGGATGCCTCTGTAGTGTGTGCCTACTGTGTGTAAGAACTAACTCCTCAGGCTGGAGAGATAGTTCAGAGGTTAAGAGCACTGGCTGCTCTTCCAGAGGTCCTGAGTTCAATTCCCAGGAACCACATGGTTGCTCACAACTATCTATAATGAGTTCCGGTGCCCTCTTCTGGCATGCAGCATACATGCAGGCAGAAAACTATACATAATAAACAAACAAATCTTTTTTTTTTTCCAGAACCGGGTTTCTCTCTATTATTTTGGAGGCTGTCTGGTCCAGCCTAGCCTCGAACTAGCAGAGATCCGCCTGCCTCTGCCTCCTGAGTGCTGGGATTAAAGGCTTGTGCCACCCAACGCCTGGCCTAAACAAACAAATCTTAAAAAAAAAAGAACTAATTCCTTGTAGTACTACAAAAATATCTAAGTTGCCTTTACATGTTTTTCTTTAGGAATTATCTGAAAAGGTAGCACCCCACACACACCACTAAAAGACAGGGTTTCTCTGTGTAGCCCTAGCTGTCGTGTAGACCAGGCTTGTCTGGAACTCACAGAGATCTACCTGCTTCTGCCTCCCAAGTGCTGGGATTAAAGGCGTGTGCCATCACCACATGGCATGAGTTCCTTCCTTAAGGAGATGGGAGCCAACCTTCCACTTCTTGGTTTGGGTTCTCAGTGACTTTCAGAGAGTAGGGTATGGATACGGCAAGAACAGCTTCACAGGACAGAAACCAAAACGCCACGTTAGCTAAGTCAGGAGGGTTAGGTAGCCCAGCAGTTAGTGTGTGCTGTGGAATGGTGGCAGTAGGGTCTAACCTCCATGATCTCAGTTCCAGTCTAATCATGAAAGAAAGAAATAGATAAATTCTAATAGTGGAGAATTCTACAAAGTGTCTGACCCATAGTCCTTAAGACAGTTTCCAGTCACTTAGAAAGACATGGCTAAATGTATTGTGGGATGCAGAAGGACATTGGGTAAAACAAAGTATGGGCTTTAGTTAGTAATAATGTATCAATGTCAGTGGTCATATGTCATCACTAATTGCAAAAAATGCCCCATACTAGTGTAAAGAATTAATAGTGGGAAATGTTGTGATATATTAGGAACACTTTATACTATTTTCATGATTTCCACCCTAAGTCTAAAACTGTTTTTTAAAACAGTCTATTAAGGCTGGGCAGTGGTGGCGCACTCCTTTAGTCCCAGCACTTGGGAGGCAGAGGCAGGCAGATCTCTGTGAGTTCCAGGCCAGCCTGGTCTACAAGCGCTAGTTTTAGGACAGCCTCCAAAGCCACAGAAAAACCCCCGTCTCAAACAAAACAAACAAACAAACAAAATAAAACAAACAAAAACCAGTCTATTAAAACATACACGTTTCAGTCCAGTTTTCTCTCTTGACCCTTATATTAGTTTCCTGTGCTAACTTGGAGGGAATGAGGCTGGACTCATGGAATAATGACTCAGTCTGGTTCCTTAGGAAGCTCAGAGTGTGTTCTAGTCTAAGTAGGGCATATAAACAAAGGCAGTGGGTTACTCTGGAGTAGTCAGTGTCTGTAGGGATCTGTAATAGGTAATATGTCTTTTAGTGGCTAAATCTTAGTTGTTCCTATTGATGTTAGAAGTATTTTGTGATGCTTAATGCTTTGATGTAAAATGCCTTTCCACATTCTTTTTACAGATGATGATTCTGATCCTGAGACATCTAATGATTTGCCCAAGTTTACAGATGGAACCAAAGGCAGAAATAGGAATCAGAACTACCTGGTTCCCAGCCCTGTGCTTAGGATTCTAGACCATACCGTCTTTTCCACAGGTGAGGGGAGCTCATTAACTAATAGCATGTAGCATATTTTGTACAGATCATGTAAGAGCAGGACATACCTCATTGACTCAGGTGTGACAAATGGGGAACCTGCAGAAGACCGAACTAGACTTCCTTAATATAGGTGACGATGGTGTGACTGGGACAATATGTGAGGCCACTGACAGTGGGTCCAAGATCTAACTCTAATGCACAGAATGACTTAGTGGAGCCCATTTCATATGGAGAGATACCTTGCTCAGCCTAGACACAGGGGGGGATGGGGTAGAGAGGTGCCTTGGTACTGCCTCAAAGAGATGATGGGGCAGACTTAGTAGACTTCCTAGAGGAGCCCTTACCCTCTCTGAGGAGCAGATGGGGGGGGGTGGTAGAAGGAGAGAAGGGAGGGGGAACTGGGATTGGAATGTAAAAAATGAATTAATTAAAACATTTTTGAAAAACAGTGCATACCATAACTACTTTTCACACAATTGTCTCTAATGGGGCTGGTATAGTGACAGTTGATGTTTCTAATGGGGCTTACTTATTAGTACAGTACTACAGCAGGGGGCTTACTTTGTTTCAGATAAGTCTGCTGATGTTGAAATCTGTGATGAAGAATGTGACTCCCCTGAGGCAGTGCACCCGCAAACTCAAGAAGAGAGCCCTATAGAGGTCCACACCTCAGAGGACGTCCCCATTGCTGTGGAAGTTCATGCGATTTCTGAAGACTATGATGTAGAGACAGAGAACAATTCCTCCGAGAGCCTCCAAGACCAGACTGATGAAGAACCACCAGCTAAACTCTGTAAAGTACTTGACAAGAGCCAGGCTTTGAATGTGACTGCCCAGCAGAAGTGGCCTTTGCTGAGAGCCAATAGCAGTGGCCTCTACAAGTGTGAACTCTGTGAATTCAACAGTAAGTATTTTTCTGACCTGAAGCAGCATATGATCCTGAAACACAAGCGCACTGACTCAAATGTGTGTCGAGTGTGTAAGGAAAGCTTTTCCACCAATATGCTTCTCATTGAGCATGCCAAACTTCACGAAGAAGACCCCTACATCTGTAAGTACTGTGATTATAAGACAGTGATCTTTGAGAACCTCAGCCAGCACATTGCGGACACCCACTTCAGCGACCACCTGTACTGGTGTGAGCAATGTGATGTGCAGTTCTCCTCAAGCAGTGAGCTCTACCTGCACTTCCAGGAGCACAGCCGCGACGAGCAGTACCTGTGCCAGTTCTGTGAGCACGAGACTGGTGACCCTGAGGACCTGCACAGCCACGTGGTCAACGAGCATGCGCGAAGACTGATAGAGCTGAGCGACAAGTGCGGCAGTGGTGGGCACGGGCAGTGCAGCCTTTTAAGCAAGATCACCTTTGACAAATGTAAAAACTTCTTTGTGTGTCAAGTATGTGGATTTTGGAGCCGACTTCACACAAACGTGAACAGACACGTTGCTATTGAGCATACTAAGATATTCCCTCATGTCTGTGATGACTGTGGGAAGGGCTTTTCCAGCATGCTGGAATATTGCAAGCATCTAAATTCACATCTATCTGAAGGGATTTATTTATGTCAATATTGTGAATATTCAACAGGACAAATTGAAGATCTTAAAATTCATCTTGATTTCAAGCATTCAACTGACCTGCCTCATAAGTGTAGTGACTGCCTGATGAGGTTTGGGAACGAAAGGGAATTAATCAGTCACCTTCCAGTCCATGAGACTACCTGACTGTTATCCTTACATAATGTTTATGTAAAATAATAAATTCTTTTTTCATGTGAAAATGGGTGATCTGAAACACAATTTGTATAGTTAGCCTTTGACAAGTTTCTGTTAGGTTTCTGGCATTACTCCATTTTTCTGTATATAATTATAGTTAATGGTGGTGTTACATTGCATGATAGTCTATATTGTTACTTTTGGTGATGGTTACCTAGTTTCTTGCCTATGCTCCAAGTCCATGAGTTCCAGGCTGCCCTGGTGTAAGTTCTAAGACAGTCAATATAGTTACACAGAGAAACACTGTCTCAAAAAAAAAAAAAAAGGAAAAAAAATTTTAAAGTGCTATGCATCAAACCTAGGCCAAGCATGTGTTGAGACAGACCTCACTGTGTAGCCCAGACTGGCCTTGAACTAGGTACATTCCTGCCTCTGTGTCCCAGCCCACCACTAGGTTGTGCCACCACAAACAGTTAAAGGACAAGAATGCATCAATTGGCCTGAGGGTATAGCTCAGTGTGCTGGTGAAACCTTGGCTTTGAGCCCTAGCACCAAATAAATCAGGTGTGGTAGCACACATATGAATGATCCCAGCAGATCCCAGCACTGAAGAAGCTCAAACAGGAAGATCAGGAGATCAAGGCCATCCCCCCAACTACATAGTGAATTCAAGGTCAGCCTGGGTTACATGAGACCCATTGTTAAAGAAACAAATAGCATGTTACTAAATCTGAAAATCCTAGTTAAAAATCAAATGGCTGTAATCCTTTTGGGAAATGAGTTCAAGAAAAAAACATTAATACCTCTCAAAGATTTTACAGTTAAGACAACTATTGATCTTCATGGAGAAGTGAATGTGGTTGATCAGCTAAGCTTTCCATTAGCACAGTTGTCTCTAAACCTTAACAGCAGGGTTCGAGGAGATGAGGGCCTTCGAAACTTTCAAAAGCTCTGTAGCCCAGGCTGGACTGCAGCCGGAGACTCCTCTGCAGTCTCTTACCACGACCCAGTTACTATATTTGCTTGTCTTTGTTCCAGTCAAACCTAGGATGTCTTTGGGAAGCAAGCAATCTATGTGCCTGGCCTCCTGAAGCCTCTGTTGCGATGCCAAGCAAAGTATCCAGGGGATTTTTTTCTTCGGTACTACACTTAACAGAACACTTCATTTAAGAGCAAAGATGCATGTGTTTTCAGTGTGACATGCAAGGTCACAAAGTCAAAAGCTGTTACCTAACTTTAAATTTTACATAAGATGTCAGGTGGTGGTGCATTCCTTGAGTCCCAGCTCTCTGGAGGCAGAGGCAGGTGGATCTCTGAGTTTGAGGCCAGCCTGGTCTACAGAGTGAGTTCCAAGACCACTAGGTCTATTACAGGGAGAAACTTGTATCTGAAAACCTTTAACCCGCTATGTCCAGCATGCTTGGATGGCAGCTGTGTACCACCACACCCTGTCCCAGACAGATCTTGAGTGAGTTTGGTAAGACTGGCCATATGATTGATGATCCAATAAAGATAGAGAAACCCTGTTTTGAAAAACCAAAAATTAAAAAAAGGAAAAAATTTACATAAGGTACATTGACTTTGTAAGCCTGAAAACTTAAGATTTTAAGAATACTAGTTACTTGAAATTTCTTCATACTAATATGAAAAATAATTTTCTCTGTAAAGCTTTTGCCTACTAAAGCATCAATCACAGCTTTCTTATGAAGCTTATTCTCCTTAGGAAATAAACTTAGTGTCAAACTGTTTAAACCAACTTTACCCAAAATAAATTTGTAAAGAGTAATTTCTTTCCGGGTGTTGGTGGCACACGAGTTTATTCCCATCAATCTGGAGGCTGAGGCAGGTGGATCTCTGTGATTTTGAGGCCAGGCTGGTCTACAAGAGCTAGTTCCAGGACAGCCTCCAAAAACAGAGAATCCCAGCCTTGAAAAACCAAAATAATAATAATAATAATGATAATAATAATATTAATAATAACAATAATAATTTCTTGACACAAGAAGAAAACAAGGACCAGTGAAATGGCTTAGTGGGTAACAGGTGCCTAGGATCCACAGGCTGTAAAGAACCAACTCCTCCAAGGTACCCTCTGTCTTAAGAGTTTCTATTGCTATGACAAACCTCCATGGACAAACTATTTACTTCAGATTACAGTTCTACATTCACAGTCCATCATGGAGAGAAGTTGAGCCAAGAACTTGGAGCAGCAACTGATGCAGATGCAGGCCATGGAGAAGTGCTGCTTACTGGCTCGCTCCTCAAGACTTGCTCGCTCCTCAAGACTTGCTCAGCCTTTCTTAAAAATCCTAGAACCACCGAGCCCGGGTGGCACCACCCACGATGTACTGGGCCCTCCCACATCAATCATCAATTAAGAAACTGTACCACAGGCTTGCCCACAGGTGGATCCAGTAGGGGCATTTTCTGAGGTTTTCTTTTCCCAAATTATTATAGCTTGTGTCGAGTTAATATAAAACTAGCAGAACTTCTCTGACTGACAGATTCATGCTATGGCATGCATACATACATCCAAAAACATGCAAAGATGATTTTTTTTTGTAGAGTCTTAACTAGAATGAGAACATAGGCCAGAATTCTATAACAGTGAGACCCTGTCTTAAGGAAATTTAGGCTTCTGATCTTTGCGTTTATGATTTTTACACCCGCCTTCTTTCCAACATTTGTTTCTCTCATCCTCGTCTTTCCTACACTCCACCACACTTGCTAACTCTGAATGTTCTCCCTGGAGGTGATGTAGTCTCTCGGGCTTTATCCTTGACCAATGAATCAAAATCGATAGTTTAACAAGATTTCCAGGTGATCACTAACAAAGTTCCCACGGACAAGTTAATTCCTAAATAATACACCTACACACATACCTTATGCTAGAAACCCAGACCCGGAAAACCAATCAAGAGCAGAGCAGCGAAAAGTCAAACGTTTGGCCTTCCCAGTTAGCTTGATTAAACAAGCATCTCTATGGATTTGGGTCCCCCCCCCAACTTCGCATCCCACACCCTAAGACAACCATAGACATCTTTTCACGCCGAAGCTATGCTGAGTTTTGAAAACTTTGAAGGGAAAAACGAAGGGGAGGAGTTGCAAGGTGGAACAGAAAGCGGCCAAAGTTTCTGTTAAAGGGTGGAGCACGCCTTTAATCCCAGCACTCGGGAGTCAGAGTCAGGTGGATCTCTGTGAGTTCGAGGCCAGCCTGGTCTACAAAGCTAGTTCCAGGACAGCCTCCAAAACAATGAAGAGAAACGCTGTCTCGAAACAAAACAAAACAAAACAAAACAAAAAAGTGTCCCTGCCCATAACAAACCTCGCCTTCTGCCCTGAAGAAAAATGGCACCCGGAATATGTGCAGTTCCGGTTTCGAAGTAACAGCCAATAGGAAAGGCGAGGTACCGGAAGTACCCGCCACACCGCCCCTCCTCTGGGCGCCTCCCCTCTCTCGGGAGGATGAGACAGCCCAGGGGCAGCGGCGGCGGAGCTGTGGTTGCTGGGTGACCGTCGGAGCCGGGACGGAGTGAGTGTCCGCTGGCCGGTGGGGACGCCCGGGGTGACCTTCGAGCTCCGTACAGGCGGAGCGAGGGCGCCCTGACCGGCTGTTGCGGCGGGCCGGGCGGCAGAGACGGACGGCCAGCCTGCGCGAAGGCCTGCCCAGGTAGGAGTCCACCCGGCCGGGCCGGCTCACGGCCCACGCGGCTTCCTGCACCCACGCACCTCCTCCGCGCCCTCAGCTCAGGGTCCTGGAGGGATCCAACCTCCTGGGGGCCACGGCTTCAGTTCGCCCACTCCGGGGTTAGTGTGTGACTGTCTTTGCTGTCTTTTCGTAAGAGACTTCCAGGTATAACTTCTTTTATTTTGACATTCCTTAAAGTTTGGGGACTTTGGCTTGAAACCTTCTTACCTACTTTGAAAGTCTTGACTCTTTTATTGTGATGAAAGCTGCTGCTTTCTCGATGCCTGTAATGCATTGTGACCTGGTAATTTTATTTTCTTCTCTACACCGTGAATTGGGAAAGTTAATAACTTAGTTATGGTTTCCTCTCCCTAGCCCAGTTCCCTGATGTGTCACATGCAACCGCAGTTTAGCTACGATAGTTTCATCTTCACTCAAGGGAAATAAAGTAGGAAATGTAACCAAGGTTTTTGTCATTAGTCTTTACCGATTTTATATTGTTATTTACATATTTATTTTTCAAAAACCCTCCCAGGTGCTAGGCAAATACTTTACCACTGAGCCACTATACCCCTTCTCCAACTTATTTCTAAACTTCTCATTTTGAGACAGTCTTATTAAATGGCTCAGGCAAGCCTGGAACTCACTGTTAACCTCTGTAGACCTTGAATTTGCAAATTTTCCTGCTTTAGCCTTCTGGTTCTACAGGCAGTGTAAGAGGAGCCAGATTTAACTTTCTTTAGTAAAATTATCCAAGTTTCTTCACTAAGATGGTTCCTTAAATAAATTACCTAAAAGTTACCTTAAAAGTATTCGGTCCATTTGGTCAGGTTAATTTTTGATATCAGGGAATTGAGACACAATTTGTATTATTAGAATTGTATGTGGTTTGTGTGTGTGTGTGTGTGTGTGTGTGTGTGTGTGTTTGTTTTTCTTTTTCTTTTTGGTTTTTCGAGACAGGGTTTCTCTGTGGCTTTGGAGGCTGTGCTGGAACTCGCTTGGTAGTCCAGGCTGGTCTCGAACTCACAGAGATCCGCCTGCCTCTGCCTCCCGAGTGCTGGGATTAAAAGTGCACCACCAACGCCCTGCGTGTGTTTGTTTTTCAAACAGGGATTTTGTTTGTGACAGTCCTGGCTGTCTTGGAACTCACTCTGTAGACCAGTCTGGCCTCTAACTCACAGAGATACGCCTGCCTCTGCTTCCCTAGTGCTGGGATTATAGGCGTGTGCCACCAACGCCTTGTTTGTTTGTTTGTTTTATGTATATGGTTTACCTAGGGTCCTTGGAGGTCAAAGAGGGCATCAGACCCCCTGGAACTGGAGTTACCAATGGTTGTGAGCCCTCATGTGGTTTTTTGGAACCCAGTTTGAGGTCTCC